GGTAGAGCTTATGAGGAACTGAACAACAGGACAAGCTGTTTTCATGCCTTAAAGTGCACAAATCAGGCCGGTACACCTGGGCACTCGAAGAGCACATTCTTCTGCCAATGCTAACGCCCTACCTCACAGGTTAAAGAAGAAGTTAAAGAAATTAAAAATATATCCAGGATCTGCTCTCTTAATCATATCTGTTCCAAAATTAATGAGTTCTTCTTTACACCATACCCTACCCTTCCACCAAGTTACAATAAAATTGGTCCTGCAGTTTGTACAATGGGGATGAATTCTTCTTTAACCCAAGAGTGAATGCTGCCTGTTAGCTTACAGAGCAGAAGTGTTCCAGCTCCAGTTATGTGCTCATTTCATGAGGGCTCTGGATGGTTTAACATCGGAGCAGTAATAAACAGTAGTTTTAGTGTAAAACAGTTCACACAGTGTTTGTCAAAGGCTACTTAATAAATATAGCTATAGGGCTTCGTGTTTGACATGCATTTTGGAGGTTTGGAGTTCTGATCACTGCATGGAAGATGTTTTGTTGTTTGCTTGTAATTTTCCAGGAAAAAGAAACTCATAGGCATGCAGAGTCTCTCTCTGTGACCCTGTGTGACTGATCAATAATAATGATTAAATCCTGCACTGATGCAGTTTCTCTGGAGTAAAGCTCTGCCTATTTACACTGCATGTATCTCCAGTATAGGTTTCTGCTTTAATGTAGCACATCTGGAACATAGCTCTTCTACCTCTTCTACCATTAGATATCCAAAAGCAATTTGTAACTGAGGGACAACACTAAAGTGTCTTATATGTACATTTGAGGAGAGGGCAGGATTTTATACAGGCTAATGTAAGAACATAAACAGAATGAGTGCAACAGTGCTCTTAACTTGTACAGCAGGCAAACTGCAGTGTTCAAATTCTTTTACATTAGCCTTTATTGTCAGCTGATGTAAATTGGCAGGCATGTCATCTCTCACTGTGGAGCTAACTCAGTGCTTAGCCTCTGTTAGCATTATCACAACCTGACAATGACTGTCAAAGGCAGGTGGTTAAAAAAAAGACAAAATATTTCTAATCTGCAATTTCACAAGTTTCCAGCATGACACACACAAAATTGTCCCATTGTATGATGTTTAGAGGGATAGAGGGATAACTCTCTGCTGATAAGCTTCCCCCTTTTTTACAGGAATGAACAGTTATAATTCTGTCCCCAGACCTGTAATACCTGCAAAAAGCTAAATCGCTAAATAGTGAAAATGTCTATTTAAGCTATTATTATTTCTATTTATTATTATTATAATTTTCTTTTTGTCCATTTGAATACATTATTGAAATAATTCTGGCATGTGAATCCATTTGGTAATGACATCAACAGATGTTTAAATGTAGGCACACTAGAAGAAAACACGACTATGTGGAACAAGGAACTAACATTTTAGAGAACCTGTTCTCAACCTTGCTCATACTCTGTAATTAAAGAGTAAATATGGGTAAGTCTCTATACTACAGACCATTATCAGTATAGTTTTACTAATTAACAAAAGTTGTTGTGGTGAGTCCGAGATATAAAAGAGGGAGGTCAATTACACCCACAGTACAGGGATTTATTCATGTCATATTTCTGTCTTCTATACTTGACTTTATGAGTTGGACCAAGGACAAGTCAAGAAATTGATCTATACTTTTCAAGAATGGTTCTTAGCAGACATTTTCATTCAGCACTGCAGCAGCAGGAATGGAGTTGAGAAAAAAAGCAAAGAAGAACTTCTATTGTCAAATCATTATATATATCTGATGTGGCTAAAAGTGTTGGTCACTGAAACAACGGTCCCATCTTTCTGACAAATGTGATGGAAATATCTCTTGTCATGCATATCTGCAAGTCTTTTGTTTGCCAAAGAATAAAATCTACAGGCTGTGAACTCAGAGCTTTTCTACTAAGATCCTCTAAAATGGCCTTGACAAAATCATTGGTGCCATTTACAAGAGGTGATTAATAAATGGATCCTCCTGATATTACCAGTCTTCTATTGATGTTTGGAGTACTCTGATATATAAGAGGTATCTCAAGTGTCTTCAGTTATTCACCCTATTAGAATAGACAATATTCACCACACTGTTGGTCACGCTGCACATGGACAAGTGAAGAAAGTTGTTACAGGCGAGGAAAAGTTGCCACCATTGTTATTAAGTGTAAGGCCCATCAGACTGTCGCCAACCTCCCTGGATGTGTTGGAACAAAATTGACCTCAGATTGGACAGAAATGTTCATGTGGTAGAAAAGGAAAACTGCAAAATAGATACAAGCTGACCCCAAAGATCACAAGTACAACTCGCACCATAGGTCATTTTCTGAATTGGCTCAATGGAAGGAAACCCAGGAGGGGGCACTTATGAAAGAGAAGCCTTTCAATCTTTCTTTGGACAAATGGAAAAAAGACTTGGTGAGTCATACCAGCTGTGTCCACTGAAAAAAATAATGAGGACTAGCCCCAGTGTGAAGAAAAAGAGAACATGGAGGATGTGCAGATATGTTACCTGGTGGCTTTGCTGCATTTTGCACAAGAAGACTTAAAATCTGTGGCAGGTACAATGAAATGAGATTACCATGACATTCTGTTGTAACATATGCCACCACATGTCAGAGAGCTCAGTGGTAGGCCATAGCTGCTGCAACTGGATCATGACAAATTATACCGCGTAAAAAAAGAACCAAGAACAGATTAGAAAATAACACTGGCCCATTCTCAATTAACCTACTATAAGACAAAATCTCTGACTGAACATCTATGGAACAAGCTGAAACTTGTAGTTGGGAATCCTCTGTCAGTTTTTTTTGTCAACATATGTCAGAACATTTTTCATTTTGTAAGTAGACAGGTGTCAGGATCACCATTTGTGCAGCACTGTGTCTTAATCTCTCTGGTACAGATGCATCAGACTTTGGATACACACAATATGGTTAGTTGCATCAATTCATTGTTAGCTGTGGTCTTTTCATGAGATTTGTGGAAAAAAAAGAAAAATATAGAATATAATACGGGCATAGACAATTTTATATAGATGTTTTGCCAAACACTCTTGGTGCATCTATCAAGTGATAACACACAGGCAGCGGCACACACACGGAGTGAGAGTGGAGCAGGAGCAAGGATATGTGCAGCACTCTGCTCTGCTCAGTTTTCAGGGCTCAGTGTGCAGAGAAAGGATACAGCAGCAGTGCCTCTTTACCCCAGCTCTCTATCTAACTGCCCCCTTCCTCCAATCTGCCTTCCTTCTATCCAGCCTTCCCATTAAATTGCCAGCCATACTCCCTCACCTCCCTCCTTTTCGGAGTGGTTCCTCAGTGCCGACCAGGAGCTATCCTACCTTCAGCAAACCGTGCGGGATGTGAGGAAAGCAGGTAAGAAGCCCTCTCACTCTTTGTTTCGGCTGGCTCTATTTCTTCCTCTGTAGCCTACTATACAGGAAACAGTTACTTATTTGTTAGAGGATTATGTGATACAGGCTGTGCTGAAGTGTTTGTGGGAGGTTTTTCTAGTAGAAATCTAAGCTTTGTTGAGCATGTTGAATGTTCAGATTTATTTTGAGGTTATTCAAATTGTGTAGTGCAGAGTCAAATCAATAGCAGAGATCCTGCCTGTTGTTTCTTGAGTTTTGTTGGTCCTGAGATTCTGTTAAATCTCAGATTGGACAGATAAATGTCCCAAGATGCAGAGGTGCTTGTTTCATGGTGGTATCCTCTGGTAACTTTATGGCAAAGCCCCACAAGGACATTATAATTTCAAATTAGAGTGAGCAGTTGGTGGAAAAGACCTTTAGCCTTCATTTAGATCTGCAGCTAATGACAATTTCATTATCTATTTGTTGATTTACAGTTGAGTCTATATAGTGTCTGAAAATAATAAATAATGCCCATCAAAATGTCCCTAAGCCCATGTTCAATTGTCTTGCTCCCTCAAAAAACTCAGAACAGATAAATAAATCATCAATTATCAAAATGA